ATGGGCATGAGAGGTAGGGGAGATAATCAATCAATAAGTGAGCAAACGTTTTAGAGAGTGGTAAGCGCTCTGTTTTGAAGAGGAATAAAATAAGGTGATATGAACTAAGAGCAAGCTGACCACTTTAGATCAGGTAGTCAAGTCAGGTCTCTTAGAGGGGATACACTTTAAACCGAGATCTAAATGACAAGAAAAATCCAGCCAAGGAAGAATTGGGGGAAGAGCATGCCAACCATAGGGAAAAAGCTAGTGCAAAGGCCCTAGAGTTGGATGCAGTGTGGTGTGGCCAAAGAACAAAATTGGGGCAAATATGACTGGAGTGTAGCAGACCAGGAGAAGAGTAATATGAAGTGAGATCCCAGAAGGAAGCCAGAGCAACTCGTGAAGGGTGTTGTAGTCCAGTGTCAGAGGTTTGGGTTTTATTCTAACTGTGAGAGTACATTAGTTAGGACATAGGCTGGCTGCTGTAACAAAATACAGTGGCTTAAACAAGATAGTGTTCAACATAATGACTCAATCCATGTCCTTGTAAATAATTGACATAAAACCTAATTTGGGTGACATTTGCAGACTCGCTTATTAAGTTCCTTGGACTGTGTATTAGGAAATGTTAAAAAAATCAATATGGAACAGACCAATAACAACTAAGGAAATTGAAGAGGTAATCAAGACTCTCCCAGCAAACAAAAGCCCAGGCCCAGATGGTTTCACGGGGGAGTTTTACTGAACATTCAAAAAAGAACTAACACCCATTCTCCTCAAACTATTTCAAAAAATTCAAGAAGAAGGAAGACTTCCAAACATGTTCTATGAGGCCAGCATAATTCTAATTCCAAAACCAGAAAAAGACACTACGAAGAAAGAAAACTACAGGCCAATATCCCTGATGAACATAGACGCCAAAATCCTGAACAAAATACTAGCAAATCGGATCCAGCAATACACCAAAAAAATTATTCACCATGACCAAGTGGGATTCATCCCAGGGATGCAAGGCTGGTACAATATTCGCAAATCAATAAACGTGATACACCACATAACAAAATGAAGAATAAAAACCACATGATCATATCAATAGATGCTGAAAAAGCATTCGACAAAATCCAGCATCCATTTCTGATAAAAACGCTCAGCAATGTAGGAATAGAGGGATCATATCTTGACATAATAAAGGCCATATATGAAAGACCTACAGCCAACATCATACTCAATGGACAGAAACTAAAAACATTTCCATTAAGAACAGGAACAAGACAGGGATGTCCACTTTCGCCACTCTTATTTAACATTGTACTGGAAGTCTTAGCCACAGCAATCAGACATGAAGAAAAAATAAAAGGGATCCAAATTGGAAAGGAGGAAGTGAAACTGTCATTATTTGCAGATGACATGATATTGTACATAGAAAACCCTAAAGACTCCATCAAAAATCTATTAGACTTAATAAATGAATTTGGCAAAGTAGCAGGATACAAAATTAACGTCAAGAAATCGACGGCATTCTTGTACATCAATGATGAACTCACAGAAAGAGAAACTGAAAAAACAATCCCATTTACCATCGCGCCAAAAAAATTACGATACCTAGGAATAAACTTAACCAAAAAAGTAAAGGACCTATTTGCAGAAAACTACAGGTCATTGAAAAAAGAAATAGAGGAAGATATAAAAAAGTGGAAGCACATACCCTGTTCATGGATTGGAAGAATTAACATAATTAAAATGTCCATACTACCCAAAGCAATCTATAGATTCAATGCAATCCCCATCAAAATACCAACGACATATTTCATAGAACTAGAACAAATACTTCAAAAGTTCATATGGAACCAAAAAAGACCCCGAATAGCCACAGCAATCTTGAAAAAGAAGAACAAAGTAGGTGGGATCACAATACCAGATATCAGGTTATACTACAAAGCGACTGTAACCAAAACAGCCTGGTACTGGCACAAGAACAGGCATATAGACCAGTGGAACAGAACTGAAAACCCAGAAATGGACCCAAGGCAATACGCTCAATTAATATTTGACAAAGGTGGCAAGAGCATACAGTGGAGTAAAGACAAGAGAAACACAGCAAAAGAAACAATCATCAAAATGGAAAGGCAACCCACTGTATGGGAGAACATCATTGCCAATGATGTATCAGATAAGGGGTTAATTTCCAATATATACAGAGTGCTCATACAACTCCACAGAAGGAAGACAAAGAACCCAATTAAAAAATGGGCAGAGGAGATGAATAGACACCTCTCCAAACAGGACATACAAATGGCCAAGAGACATATGAAGAAATGCTCAACATCACTAATCATCAGAGAGATGCAAATTAAAACAACAATGAGGTATCACCTCACACCTGTCAGAATGGCCGCCATTAACAAATCATCAAACAACAAGTGTTGGCGAGGGTGTGGAGAAAAGGGGACTCTAATACACTGCTGGTGGGAATGCAGACTGGTGCAGCCGCTATGGAAAACAATATGGTGCTACCTCAAAAAATTAAAAATTGAACTTCCATTTGACCCAGTGATCCCACTGCTGGGAATATACCCTAAGAAGCCTGAAACACCAATCAGGAAGAATATATGTACCCCCATGTTCATAGCAGCACTTTTTACAATAGCTAAGATCTGGAAACAGCCCAAGTGTCCACCAGTAGACGAATGGATCAAAAAGCTGTGGTACATATACACAATGGAGTACTATGCAGCGGTAAGAAAGAAAGATCTCTTATCCTTTGAGACGACATGGAGGGACCTGGAAAGTATTATCCTAAGTGAAAGAAGCCAAGCAGAAAAAGACAAATACCACATGATCTCACTTATATACGGAATATAATGAACATAACAGTCTGAGGAATACAGTAGACCCAGACACATGGAAGTAGGGCACAGACTGACATCTCTCAGAAGAGGGGATGGGGGGTGGGGGTGGGAAGAGATAAACCACAGAACTTATATGCATGTATGTATGACCAATGGACATGGACAACTAAGCCGGGGACAGGGTGGAGGGGGGGTGGGGTGGGGGGGTGCCAATGGGGTAAAAAGGTAAAATATCTGTAACAAAAAAATAAATAAAATTCATAAAAAAAAATCAATATGACTTAGTACATATAATTTCATTGCGATTAATGTAGTATAACATAATTTGAAAACAAATTTATCTCGACTCATCCTAGAGTGGCTAAGAGCCCAGGCTCTGGACTCACTATGAATTAACTCTGTGCGTGAGACAATTAGAGGATCACCATCTTCCATATCTGTAAAGAGTGAATAGCAATATCACTTACCCAATAAGGTGGTTGTTGTAAGGATCAATCTACATAAAGTTATATTACTTGCTCAATGAATGCTAGCTCTTGTTACCCCCAAAGACACCAAGTGGCCACTGTGTCATTTGCATGATAGACTCAATATGGAGTGGAGATGCCATTAGACTTGCTGAATAGACATAAATGCACAGATTCATCAAACAGAACAAGTTACTCAGGTCATCTTAAATGTGGGTAATGGATTAAAATTATGGTACTGGTAACCAATTTATTTTGCTGGATTCCTGAAATCTGGAAAATTACCGTGCATCATAGAGGCTTTCTCTTTATATTCATAATTGTTCTTACATTGATCGTTGGATGCTATACTAAATAGTATGTGAAAAGATGATCAAGGACTACCCAGGATGGACTGGAAGAAATAGCATGAAGGAAATATCTCAGTGGAAAGTTGAAAACCCTAGGCCAATCCCAGGCTAACATCGGTTCAATCCCACCCCCACCTAGGGCCTTTTATGTCCTTTTTCCGCTGAGCACAGCTTCTCAGAACAGTGGTCTGCATGAGTAGTAGAGAGAAGTCTCGCTGTATAGCACCCTTCTAGAGGAGTGTGCCTTTGTTCCTCCTGCTTGTCTATGGGGGCGACCAGTCTGAGGTTAGCCTGAGGGTCAAGGTGCAGTGGACACGTGCAAGCTGAAGCAGGAAAACTCACACCACCGATCACTACCTTCCGTTGGTGATTTCTGAGTGTCTGATGTGGGAGGCTGTCAAGTTGAAGAGTTTACTAAATTAACATTAGAATCTAACCACTTCTCGCCACCTCCCCCACTGCCTTCTTTCTTGCATTTCTGGACAGTGTCCCGGGGGATCTTCCCTGCCAGCCTTGCGCTCTTCCAGTCATTTCCACCTGACAAGCAGAGGGCTCTTCAAAAGGTACACCAGAGCCTGTGACTCCTCTACTCTAAATCCTCCACTGATGTCTTTCTTAAAAAAAAAGCAAAATCTGGGCTCCTTACAAGTTCCCCTTCAGTGCACTTGCCCAACTGCAGTCTAGCTGTTCCTCACATTTTTTGAGCATGCTCCCACAGCAGGTTTTCAAACTGGTGCTCGCTGTTCTCTCTGCAGAACACACTTCCCCCAGAAGCAAGCGTCCTCTCCCTCACCCCCTGAAAGTCTCCGCGTGAAGGCCACCATATCAGAGGGACATTTTTGACTGCCCTACACAAAATATCACTTCCCAGTCACTCTCTGTCCCCTTCATCTAAAAGTTATTTTTCGTTTTAGTCCTTATCACCACCTCAGATATAAATTAATTATTTGGTTCATAGTCTCTCTTTTCTTATCCCTTAGTGGAATGTAAGTTGTGTAGAAACAGAAATTCTACCTGTTGTACTCACTGCTATATGCCCAGTACCTGGAAAAGTCTCTGCAGAGTAGGTACTTAGTACATACCTTGAGCAATGAACACTGTGAAAGTCTTAGTTCTCCAACCACCTCCGTTCTTTGATCAAACAACTTGGAGGCTGACTCTTCTCACAGGCCTCAGAATTCTGCACCCATGAGTTTCCTCATCTGTAAAATGCAAAAAATGATACTTCCCTCATAGAGTTTTGTGATAAATGAGATGATATGTATGAAGGGTTCAGAATATATCTTCATATAGATATAGAAAGCCTCCAAGAAATGGGAAATGTTTTTATCATTATTATTGTTGTTTCACAGTGATCCAGATTGCTTTTGCACTAACCTGAAGACATATGGAGGCATAAGGACAGGAACCATTCTGTTTATTTCTATGCTTTGGACCTTCCATGTATATTGGTAAGTATTGTTGAAAGTCAGATATTCGCTCCAGGGACTCTCTGTGTCCATAAATACAAAAAATTGAGGAACAGCTCATAACATCAATTCAGGGGCCCACAGTATTAGGTGCTAAAATATTACTTTCATTGAGAACTTATGTCCACACAAAAACCTGCACACAGATGTTTATAGCAGCTTTATTCATAATTGCCAAAACTTTGAAGCAATCAAGTTGTTCTTTAGTAGGTAAATGAATACATAAACCATGGTACATCCAGACTATTCAGCACTAAAAAGAAATGAGCTATCAAGCCATGCAAAGACATGGAGGAAACTTAAATGCATGTAACTAAGTGAAAAAAAGCCGATCTGAAAAAGCCACATACTATATGATATTCTGGAAAAGACAAAACTATGGCGACAATAAAAACATCAGTGGTTGCCTAGGGGTGTGTGTGTGTGTGTGTGTGTGTGTGTGCAGAAAATGGCATAGCACAGAGGATCTTTAGTGTGGGGAAAATACTCTGTATGATACTATAATGATGGATACATGTCATTATACATTTGTCCAAACTCATAGTACCTACAAAACCCAGAGTCAATCATAATGGACTTTGAGCGAATCATAATAAACTTTGAGTGAATCATAGGACTTAGAGTGATTGTGATGTGTCAATGTAGGTCTATTGATTGTAACAAATGTGTGACTCTGCTGGAGGATATTGACAATGGGGGAGGCTATGCACATGTTGGGGCAAGGGAGTATGGAAAATAAATTTCTGTATCTTCCCCTCAATTTTGCTGTGAACCTTAAACTGCTTTAAAAACAGGAAGTTTTTAAAAAATTACTTTCAGTTTTCATAAAGCCTTCAGGCTATCAAAAGGGAACGTGAGGGAGGGTGTTAAGTATGTCCTGGCAATAAAGGTCCTAAGCTGAACTAAGAGAGAGGTACTTCTGCCAACTATTATAGTTCCCCCTTTGGGGAATCCTGATTTGCCTCAGTGATAGAGATATGGCACAATTACTGGCTTGAAAATCTATGAGTCAAGCTCTGAGACCAAGTCCAAAGACTCAGTGTACACATTGGGACCCTATTCCAAACTCTTAGTTAATATAGTCATATGTTGGCATTAAAAAAAAATCTTACAGGATTTAACAAACCACATAACCACTTAACATTCTTTGCTGTCTTTTTAGGTTTTTGAACTCATGTTCATCATTCATATGAGAAACCCAGTGATAAAATTCTCGAGACTACAATGAAACATATAAGAAGCACTTACGTATTTTGTAGTATTGTCATGTCAGTGTATGGCTGGGCTTCAAAGCTTCCAGAAGAAAGGGAATTGACTACCAATTGCTCTAACATGTCTCTAAGAAAGGTTCCTGCAGACTTGCCCCCAACCACAACCACACTTGATTTATCCTACAACCTCCTTTTTCAACTCCAGAGTTCAGATTTTCATTCTGTCTCTAAACTGAAAGTTTTGATTCTGTGCCATAACAGAATCCAAGAGCTGGACATCAAGACCTTTGAATTTAACAAGGAGTTAAAATATTTAGATTTGTCTTACAACAGACTGAAGACTATGACTTGGTATTCACTGGCAGGTCTCAGACATTTAGATCTGTCTTTCAATGACTTCGACACCATGCCCACCTGTGAGGAGATTGGCAACATGTCTCACCTGGAAAGCCTAGGTTTGAGTGGGGCAAAAATAAAAAAATCAGATTTCCAGAAAATTGCTTATTTGCATCTAAATGCTGTTTTTTTAGGATTGAGAACTCTTTCTTATTATGAAGAAGGCAGCCTGCCCATCTTAAATACAACAAAACTTCACATAGTTTTACCAATGGACACAAATTTCTGGGTTCTTCTGCGTGATGGAATCAAGACTTCGAAAATATTAGAAATGACAAATATAGATGGCAAAAGCCGATTTGCAAATTATGAAACTGAAAAAAATCTTATTTTAGAGAATTCCAAGACATCTATTCTGTTACTTAATAAAGTTGATTTACTTTGGGATGATCTTCTCCTTATCTTCCAATTTGTTTGGCATACATCAGTAGAATATTTCCAAATTCAACATGTGACTTTTGGAGGTACGGTTTATCTTGACCACAATTCATTTGACTACTCAAATACCGTAATGAGAACTATAAAATTGGAGCATGTATATTTTAGAATTTTTAATATTCCACAGGAGAGTGTCTACTTATTTTTTACCAAAATGGATATAGAAAACCTGACAATATCAGATGCACAAATGCCACACATGCTATTCCCTGTTTATCCTACAGGATTCCAATATTTAAATTTTGCTAATAATATCTTAACAGATGAAATATTTAAAAAACCTATCCAATTGCCTCATTTGAACATTCTCATTTTGAAGGGTAATAAATTGGAGACACTTTCTTTAGTGAGTTGTTTTGCTAACAACACATCCTTGCAGCTTTTAGATTTAAGCCAAAATCTGTTACAACATGAAAATGATGAAAATTGCTTTTGGCCAGAAACCTTGATCACCATGAACCTGTCATCCAATAAATTTGCTGATTCTGTTTTCAAGTGTTTGCCCACAAGTATTCAAATACTTGACCTGAATAATAACAAAATTCAAACTGTCCCTAAAGAGATTATTCATCTGAAGTCTTTGCAAGAGCTAAATCTTGCATTTAATTTTCTAACTGATCTTCCTGGGTGCGGTCATTTCAAAAAACTCTCAGTTCTAAACATTGAAATGAACTTAATTGTTAGCCCATCTCTGGATTTTTTTCAGAGCTGTAAGGAAATTAAGACTCTAAATGCAGGAAGAAATCCATTCTGGTGTACTTGTGAATTAAGAAATTTCATTCAGCTTGAAAAATATTCAAAGGGCATGTTGGTTGGATGGTCAGATTCATACATCTGTGAATACCCTTCGAATCTAAAGGGGACTCAGTTAAAGGATGTTTACCTTCCTGAATTAACCTGCAACACCACTCTGTTGATTGTCACTATTGTAGTTATCATGCTAGTTCTGGGGATGGCCATGGTCTTCTGCTGCCGCCACTTTGATCTGTCCTGGTATCTCAGGATGCTAGGTCAATGGATACAGACATGGCGCAGGGTAAGGAAGACAACCCAACAACTCAAAAGAAATGTCCAACTCCCTTTGTTTATTTCATATAGTGAACATGATTCTGCCTGGGTGAAATACGAATTGATCCCCAATCTAGAAAAAGAAGATGGTTCTGACTTAATTTGCCTTCATGAGGGAAACTTTGACCCTGGTAAGACAGTTACTGAAAATATCCTAAACTACATTGAGAAAAGTTATAAGTCTATCTTTGTTTTATCTCCCAACTTTGTCCAGAGTGAGTGGTGCCATTATGAATTCTACTTTGCCCATCACAGTCTCTTCCATGAAACTTCTCAGTATGCAATTCTTATCTTACTGGAACCCATTCCACTCTACTGCATTCCGACCAGGTATCCAAAGCTGAAAGATCTCATGGAAAAGAAAGCATACTTGGAATGGCCCAAGGATAGGCGTAAATGTAGACTTTTTTGGGCAAATCTTCGAGCTGCTATTAATGTTAATTTATTAGAAACCAGAGACATGTGTGAACTAGAGACATTCACAGAGTTGAATGAAGAGTCTCAAGGTTCTGAAATCTCTCTAAGAACAGACTGCCTATAAAAACCCACCCTTTCTTAGGGAAATTGGGGCCTGCATACACTGTTGGGATATAAGTTGATACAACTTTTACGATGGCAATTTGGCAATATTTATTAAAATAACAAATGATTGTTCTCCCTTAGGTCAATTTCTTAAAGGTTTTCTAAGAATGTATCCTACAGAACACAGGTTTGCAAAGGTTTATGTAAAAAGAAATTTGTCCCAGTATTGTTTATAATCATAAAAAATAAAACAGTTCAAATGTCCACAAAATAGGATTGATTTCATAAATTATAGTACATTAATGCAAGAGAATATTACACGGCCATTAAAAAGAATGAGGTAGCTCTATATTTATTAGTTTATACATATATTTACTAAAAATTATATTAATATATTGGTTTATACATTGAAATAGAAGTCTAAAGTAATCCATACCAGTACTTTGGGTCTGGGAGGTTGGATCACAAGGAGCATTTGCTCTTTATGTTGCATATTTCTATAATATTTGAGTTGCTAAGACTGAATCTGTATTTCTTTTATCACTAGAAAAAAAAACAATAAATACCTTTTTAAAGCCTATAGATCTGACTCATTTTTGCTTGATTCTTTCCTTCTAGTCTCACAGATTATCAAAGAAAAACAAGCTTTCCTGAATTTTGCAAAATTATATTTTGAAACATGTTACTTCCCTAATTTGAAAAATGTGGCTCACCCACATGATAAAGAAAATGCAATGTTCCTTTAAGATCTTTCACCAATCTCCTCTCACTTCCCTGCATTCTATCATTGAGCCCTATCAATTTATTGGTCCTTTCCCAGAATGTTCGGTCTTCTTTCAGGCCCCAGGCTCTAGCATTTGGCATTGTGACCGCCTATAATACCTTTCCACGTTGTTTCATTCAGGAAATCCTACATAGCTTTCAAGGCACAATCCAAATGTCAACTCTTTTTTGAAACCTTCCTCATTTCTTCCCCCAAGCATGATTATGCTTCTTGATAAGCACTTGATTATAACTCTTTGGACATATTTCTGTCACTGAACTGATAATATATGTTTTTAAAGTTTGCATTTCTAACTAGACTCAAAGGTTAGGACAGATTTCCCTCTGCCCTTGTATCAGCAGCAGTTTGTCTGCTCAGTCCCTGGTTCGGAGAAGGTAGTCAATGAATGCGTATGAAATAGATGTTGGGTTGACTGGCAGAACTTAGTGGGACTCAGCTGGCTTCAGGATAGACAGTAGAATTTGAAGGCAAATTCTGAGAAGGTGGGCAGGGAGACCAGGAAAAGGTTGACGTCAGGTGAGAAGACAAAAAAATCCGGAACTAAAGGATTCCTGAGTACAGCTTGAATCATGTAAGGTTGCCAATATTTGGTTGCTCTTGACGTAAAAAAAAAAAAAAATCATGTTTTATTTCATTCAATCTAATACAACAAATCTCCTAAGCAGGGTAAACTGGGTTCTACATCTACTTTATTTCCTTACAATTGTAGTTTTAGGAATTCCTTAGGCTAGTAGACATTTGAAAAATCGTACTTAAGACAGTCACCCTGAAAGTATAGAGAGAGGGCTAGGTGTCAGTCTAGAAGCCAGGTTGTGCTACCATTTGTCCAATGGCCAGTCTACTCTGCAGAGCTAGAGTCTGGGCTGTTGATAGTTAAGTAGTGTGACTTCTGGAGGAGCCGTACAGATACTGTTTGAGGATCTTGTAAATGTTGAGTAAATTACTCAGTGTGAGACTCTTACCTTTAAAGATTAATTAACTAATAGGTAACATGCAAAGTAGGTAACCTTTGCCCTAAAGTCACCAGGATTATTCCAAAGTAGAATCCTCAGTTTAGTAGTATGGTTTTTAAAATAGAAATATTTTATTACAATTAATACAATAACATGTTAGGCTTGACTCTTAGCAACTTCTGTTGTAGCAACTGGACTAAACTCAAATTTTACCTATCAGATTATTATACTGTTCCTTTTTCAGAAAATTTGATACCATTCATTTCCTAATATGATTGGTTTAGACTGATATGGATCATAATAAGAGAAAATAAATTTTACATGACTTCAACGGTGGGGCTTGAGATACAAGTAGTACCTAGCCTCATGCAAACCTGAGGATAACTTTTACCCAAGAAATTGCGGATTTCAACAAGTGACCCGTGATGCTGGCAGGGAAGTGAACACATGTAGGCTGTACACTGTAACAGAAGCCAGTGTAACAACTTTGATCTTGTTTTGAAAATGACTCCAGATCTTGTGAACTTGCAAGTTCCTTTTAATATCCTCGCCATATGTCAACCTAGAGCTTCTTTCATTTTTTTCTGCAAGGATATTGAGCTCTGTGTCAGTGTGATTGAAGTCTGTCTGTGGATTCCTTAGGGGACCTTCACAATCGCTGTGCATCTCTGCAGGTAAATGGCAGTATTTCCTGGAGTCAACAGTTCAGTGTTGATATTCATGTGGCAAAGAGAGCTGTACTAAAATGAGATTGTAGTCCTCAGATTCCAAGTGGTTTGGAAGAAGGAAAGAATTTTAAATCTAACTTAAGGCAAATGTTCCCTAAAGGTTCCTCTCCTTTCTCTGTTATAACAAACCAGTCAAGAAAAGCATAGACTAGGAATGTTTAAACTGATTGAGAATTTAGAACTTATCAAGTATTAATTCTTACTTTCAAATGGGGAAATTGAGGCTTTAGAATTTGAAATAACTCACCTAAACCCAAGGTCAAACATTGGTCTCTTAACTCCTCAATAACACTTTACCTTCCAATCCACAACAAGGTGGCTTTTATTTTCTATATTTGATTCTATTATCTTGATCCTTTCATTTTCATTCTCAAGATCAGTGCTCTATAGTCCCCATAATCATTTGCAGTCTGAACTCTGTCTGCAGTCTCTCTGCATCTACCAAAGCAGACTGCATTTGCCACTGAATTTACATCCCTAAAACAACAATCTCATTCTCTCAGCAACACACTATGAGGTTGCGCTTCAGACTATCCACCCTTTGGCCTCAAGATACACACACGTGTTCTCCATGTAAAGAATGAAGAATAACTGGAAGCCTGGTTTCTCCCAGAGTTTTTGAGGACAACTTTGTCGCTGGTACTCTTCTGGGATGCTTCCCATATTCCCTTAGCTCAGTTTTTCTCTGGTGTGCTGTGACACCTGGTGTGCTGTGACACCTGGTGTGCTGCTGGTATTGATCTCAGCCCTCTACCCAGCTACCTGAGGTTCTGACAGTGCGTTCTGAAGTCCCCACAGGTAGCAAACACAATGAATAACTCCTGTTGTGAACTCCTGATGGTCTACACCCGACCATCTATTTCACAGACAGCGGCTATGTTGCTGCTGAAGTACTTTGAATTCACTTGTACAAGGACAAAAGTGCAGCCAAAGGTGAGGTTGTTCAAGGTCAGGTTAGGGAGGTTGGGTGGGGCTTTCTGCCAGCACAACTCCAGACAGCAGCCCAAGTCTCCTTCTTCACAGTGAGAGGTTTTTGCCTTCAGGATGCGTCTTTTTAGTGGTGTCCCAGGTGGCTTAGTGGTCAATACTAACAACGCATGCACATACTCAAAATTATTTTAAAATATTTAAATGAAAATCCAGTGGAGTGGATTCTAAATCCATTAATGTTTCCCCAAAACATGTCAGTATGATCTTTGCCTTTCAAATCTTTGCTCCAATCCCATTTCCAGTGAAGACTTCCCGAAGACTTAATGGAAAATGGTAGCACTCATTGCCCGCCCTCTGTGCTTTTTATTTCTCCATAACATTTGCCACCTTCTAATGCTGTATCACGTTTCTATTTATTTTGTGTATTCTCCGTCTATCCCCACTAGAATGCAAACTCCTTTAGAGAGATTTTTGTCTGTTTTGCTCACAGTTGTTGCCTCCACCCCTGCCGAGAACAGTGCCGGCACGGAGCCACTCTCCAGGTATTTTCTGAAGGAAGCAGAGTTTGTGCTTTGTTACAAAGTGGATGCTTTGTTGATCAGCCTCCTCTGCTCTTCTGAAGGCCAACAGGGTGGCCAAGGCTGCCCACTTCAGTGTCAGCCCTAGTTGTAGTAAATCAGGAATATAGATTTCACTCGTTAGGGGCATTCCTCACCTTCAATAAGTGTACATTTGCTTACATTTCTTGGGAGCTGCCATGACTGGGTTGTCTCTCCTCTCTGCCCACCTTTGGTAGTTCTCTTTGCTTCTTCCTGTTGGGATCTGCTTGATCTCAGGTTTGCTGTGGGCAACCTTTGCGCTATTTCAGAGTCTGCAGATTACATGAATCACCACAAACTGGGCTTTTGGGTTCCCCCATTACTGCCCCTGTGCTTGTTGTTGCATCAGACTTTCAAGATGAGAAGAGGAAGTTCCTGGCCAATAAGGCCTCTACCATGGGCCCATGCCTCAGGCCCCTGCCTCTGCCTCCACCCAGCTCTTTGGAGGACCCTTTCTGAATTTCCCAAGTTCTTCTTAGGGGCCGGTACTGCCAGGACTGCAAGTGTTCTCCCAGTGGGATGTCTTTGGCCCCAACCCAGACCCACATTTACCCTGGTCTCCATTTGTCTCCTGTGGGGCATTTTTCTGACCCTCTAGCTTGCACATAAAGTCAACCAGGTATTCTGAGAGGCTCTGAAACTCATGCCTATGGGATCCTCTCAGAACCTGGTTGTTGAGCTTCCATTCAATGTGGTCATTTAGTTAAGAAAATCATTCTTACTGGCCAAAGCAGCGCGGTATCACCCAAGACCGAGCCACCAGAGTGGTGCTGATTTGGGGTGACTCTCACGTTGAACACAAGATGATTTGGGCTTGAGCCACCTGTGGGGGTGGCTCTGTGTTTTGATTGTGGTGTCACCTCCTGTCTATAGCACCTGAGGATGGCAGGTATGGTAGCAGATGTCCTCTACCCTGAGGTCCCCTGTAACCCCCAGCCTTTGGCATCCAGGGTGATAACCGCCCTGCTGCCGGCTCCGTGCCATGTATTAGGTAGTTCTTCAAGGATGGCTTTCAGCACTGAACACCAATGGGCCTTTCCATCAATGTCCTCTCTTGCCTCCCATTAACATGCTGACATCATGATCTCCCTGTCTTAAGCCATGCTGACGCGGGAAAGACATATCTTGTGGGAGTGGGACTGTGCCTTTCTCTTCACGCATGGACCCCTCACCTATCCACCCTGCTTGGTGGTGGTGTGCAGAAGGCAAGGATTCAGTCAACCTCAAAAATTCCCATTCTAGGAACG